TTCCAGTCTCTGCAATAGGATCTGATGGTCAATGGTATCAAATGCAGCACTAAGGTCTAATAAAACCAGTACAGAGACAAGTCCTTTGTCTGATGCAATGAGGAGGTCATTATCATTTTCACCAGTGCTGTCTCTGTGCTATGATGAACTCTAAATCCTGACTGCTTCTCCAGATCTTACAGAGAAATGGAGGTTAGATATAGGTCTATAGTTGGCTAAAACATCCGGATCAAGTTTGGGCTTTTCAGAAAGGGTTTAATTACAGCTACTTTAAAGTACTGTGGTACATAGCCTGTTGATAGAGATAGATTGATCATATCAAGTATAGGAGTGCTCACTAAGGGTATAACTTCTTTAAGCAACCTAGTCGGGATGGGGTCTAAGAGGCAGGTTGATGGTTTAGATGAAGAAATTATTGAAGTTAGTTGGTAAAGATTGAGGGAAGCAAAGCAGTCTAAACATATCTGGTTCTACAGCTGTTTCTAAGGTTCCTGAGTTTAGAGATAAGTCGGTGCCAGTTGAGGGCAGGTCTTGGTGAATTTTGTTTCTAATAGTTAGAATTTATCATAAAGAAGCTCATGAAGTTGTAACTACTGAGAGCTATGGGAATCTGGCTCAATAGAGCTGTGACTGTCAGCCTGGCTACAGTGCTGAAAAGAAACCTGGGGTTGTTCCTATTTTCCTCTATTAATGACGAGTAGTACGCTGCTCTGGCATTACGGAGGACCTTCTTATTATATATATATATATATATATATATATATATATATATTATATATATATATATATATATATATATATATATATATATATATATATATATATATATATATATATATATATATATATATATATATATATATATATATATATATATATATATATATATTATATATATATATATATATATATATATATATATATATATATATATATATATTATATATATATATATAGATATATATATATTATATATAGATATATATATATATATATATATTTTCTCTTGCCAAATTAAATGAAAATTTTCCAGTTTGGTGGAACGCCAATTGCTCTCAAGTTTCTGCGATATTTGCTTTAATTTGCAAGTTTCAGTGTTATACCATGGAGCTAACAGTCTTTGTTTTATTATTTTCTTTTTAGAGGGGCAACAGAGTCGAGTGTCATTCTCAGCGAGCCTGCAGCACTATCAACAAGATGATCGATTTGGGAGGGACTGAAATTAGCATAGGAGTCCTCCGTTACTTTGTGACTTGATAATGAATTTAGAGCTGATGGAATCGCATCCTTAAATTTAGCTACAGCACTATCAGACAGACGTCTTGTATAGACATTTTTGCCCAATGGCGTGTAGTTCAGCAATACAAACTCAAGTTATCAAACAGTGGTCAGATAAAGAGGGATTCTGTGGGAACACTATACTATGTTCAATTTTAATACCGTATACCAAAACAAGCTTCATGAACACTCTGAGAGAAGCCAATGGAATCTAACAGAGAGATAAACGCAGTACTAAAGTTGTCATTATCAACGTCCACATGAATATTAAAATCCCCTACAATAATAACTTTGTCCGTTTTAAGGACTAAAGTTGACAAAAACGCAATTCAGATAAGAATTCAGAGTACGGACCTGTGTGTGTGTGTGTCCCCGTCCAGGTTCTTCATGACAGGCTACCTGCCACTGGGCTTTGAGTTTGCGGTGGAGCTGACCTACCCAGAGTCAGAGGGAACCTCATCCGGACTACTCAACTGTTCGGCACAGGTACAGCTTAGTGACCTATAGGGTCACTCTCAACATAATAGTGCAGACAAGCCCAGCACATCAGCAAATGGATGGCATGAGAACAAATGTTTTTACTGGTTGTAGAGAAAAAAAGTGAGCCCTTCTTCCTCCATATCAGTGCAGGTTTCTAAGAAGACCTGAGTACATATATTAAAACAGTTTAGAGAACAAGAATACAACTAATAACAGTAACAGTCTGCAGAATCTGTCCAGAGCTAATTTCCGGATTTGACTTTACATTTTGAAAGTCTGTAGATTAGTTTGTTCCTTGTTGACCCAGAAGCCTTTTCATCAAATTCTTCAAATCAAAACATGCAAGCTGCAATTTACAGCATGACACAAAACAAACACGATACTTCATGCACATCATGCATGAACATGTGTGAGCCCTGACTCGTACATTTGAGTTTCCCGGAAACAATAATTCATGAAATGCGATGCTTCTACCATTTACAATCTGAGTGTAAGCGGTGATTACAAAAGAGTTTTTGTGAAACGGGCCCCCGGATAGCTGATTGCAGGTACTGGCACTATAATACTTCCACGGAGTACAGCAGTTTTGGCTGCAGGGAAAAATATGGATGCTGCTTCTTAAAGGCCTTAGCTGCTGAGGGATGAAAGTGAGAAGCACATTTGTTTTGTTGTTGTTTTTTTGTCTGCTGTGTGTGCGTGTCTGTGCATGCAAATACCAGCTTTATTCCTAACTGGCGTGTTCTGCATGCCCAGGTGTTTGGCATTATATTCACCATCTGCCAGGGGAAGATCATCGACAGCTTTGGCACACTTGCAGGAAACATCTTCCTCTGTGTCTTTCTTCTAATCGGTACAATAATGACAGGTAAGACCTTTCTGACTATGAAACATATGCTCTATAGAGTCATAGCAAGCTACTGAATTTATCCCACATAGAGCAATGCTGAAGAACTGTCTCGTCGGTTAGTTTCTGTTATGAATTTGCTCTGGGAAAGTGTTGAATTCCAAGAAAGTAGATGATGGGTACTGTGCACTTTGAAGGGCTGTTTCAGGGTTGTGTTATGATACAGATTACCAACACAATGACAGATGTTTTTGTATCGTGTTGTATATTTAGCAAAGCATTGTGTCACATCCTTACAGGAAAGCTATATGACCCTGGAAGTAGTTTCTTAGAAATTATTTCATCTCCTTGAAAGGGTTCAATACTGTGCCTTGTTTAACTGAAGTTGGGGAAAAGATGGTGTGTGCCTCCTCAATTGAAAGTGACTGTTTTTCATTAAGCAAACACTAAGCAGAAGTTTCAAGACAAGTCAGAGGCTGCAGCGGTAAACATTTTGTTGTCAATTGACTGAGTAATGGAAAATTTTGCATCACTCAGAAGGTAAACAATGCACATGCATTCTGACACTCAATATCTTTTTGTGTAAATGTAAGACTTCATGCCTAAGTCAACACGTAGGTTTTTTTTGCATGGCCTATTGAGGGGTTTATAAGCAATGTATAACTTATTAAAAGCGCTTTAGCCACTGAAGCGCTAAACTTTGTACACAATATAAAACCACTGCAAGACTATGTAATGACACTTATCTTCTCACAAAGGTCAGCAAAATGACTCAGTGTCTTTTGTAACTTACTCCGTATTTAGACATATGAGTGGACCTCTTGTTGTGGCCACCGTGCCAGTTTTTAAAGGAAAAGAAACCGCTTTATGAGAAAACCACAACTGAACTCATTTCTTTTATTTGTGTGATATACCGTAGAGTCTTATGTGAAGCTGCCATCAGTGTTGGCCCTGTAATATATTCAGTTACAAAGGTTATAATCTGTTGTGAAATCGGAGTTAATGATTAAGTTGCAATCACGATGATGAGTGCAACATTGAGGGTAAGTTAGGGTGCATGACTTTTCTGCAGAATTGCTTTTGTTTGTTGAACTACTTTTAAAAGTGTATTAAACTTAAATAGAGCCACAGTTCTGATTGTAATGTGTCTGTGCAAATGAGCCACCTACTGGACAGTCACATTTATTACATCATGTCATACAACCACACTGTTTTTATATATTAATAATCTGCATTAATATTATTAAAATTTGTTTGTTGCTGGGGCGCTGGCTCGGTTGGTAGAACATGCGCCCCATGAACTAAGGCAGAATCCTTGTCGCAATGGCCTGGGTTTGAATCCGACCTGTGGCCCATTGCTGCATGTCACCCCCTCTCTCTATCTAATAGCAAAAATCCCCCCCCGAAAAATGTTTTAAAAAACCAGAAAGTTGTGTGTCATTATGTCATGCAGTCTTTATTTCCCTGCAGGTTTAATCAAGTCTGATCTACGGAGACAAAATGCAAACCTTCTGGCCAAAGCAACAGCAGTAAGTGTGTGAGAAAAAGCCTGCTATGATAGCACTATGAAGTTGAATAGGCTTTTTTTTTTTTTGCAGAGGACATTTTGACATCTCACTATAGGAAAAAGCACAGGTATAAATGTTAAAATGAATTATGGCTGAATACCATTTAGCTGCTTCAGTTTCAGGGTCCTGGTATACTGTCACCGTGATAGCTTACTCTGACATTTGAATAAAATGGAGCCATTGCTAGTGTAGTAACACCTGTGCTTCTACTATGCCAAGTCAAAATTCTGCTGCGAAAAAGGCCCATGTATTCTGTGCTTGCTTTGCAAGTTTTCATGGAAGGCATGAAGTCAATATCACATGTGCGTCTTGTGCTGCTCCAGAAATAATTTTTATAACTAAGAAATAATTCTTTTGTCTCTATTTTTGCTGTCGTCGTGAGTCAGCCTGCTCGTCTGTCCATAAAACATGGTTGAATATGGGCAGATTACTGTCTCTGCAGTATGTGTTTTTGTGCCGTTTTCATCTTTCTCATGTGTCTGCGTGTTGTAAAACAGAAAATGCATCTGCCTGCGTAAACCTCTCTCCCAGACACCTTAAGAGACGCAATGGCAACCGACGCTATTACCCATGGGTTTTAGCCTCCTCATCAGGGTGTCTGCCTCCCATACTCAAGGTCACTGGTTCAAGTCAGAATCAGGCACTATAATTTGGATCCAGTTACACCTGCAGATGCTTACATGTTTAGAAATGTATTCTCAGACATAATATATCTTAATAGCTCATTCAATTTGTCTGAATAGTAACAGTTAATGCTTTATTGCTTTCACCCATTCTGTTTTGATTCGGTCATAATACATTGCTTCCCCTTTCAATTCTTTCTATTTTTATTACAGCATCTGGAAACAGACCAAGAATTTACAGAGGGACAAAGTACCTCAAATTTAAATGATTTAAAGCAAAATTTAGTGAATATTTCAATGTTACACAAAAGCAACCAAAGCAGTGCTGCCCCCATGGACAAAACGTTGTTGTTGATGTCTGGGTGGGTCTCCAAGCTCTGTGGTCAAGTTACTGATGAGCGCTGACAGGAAATCAGCAGTCAACATTCCTCACATCTAATGCTTACATTAGATTACATTTGGTTTCTGGTGGCGAGTTAGATGAGATGATCAATACCACTCTCTGTTAAATACGAAGCTAGAGCCAAGAGATGACTAGCTCTGGCCTGCTCCTGCCTACTCTGCTTTTATGTTACCAAACTCGAAACACTCAATTTGGAGGTCCAGACCGACGTATACCAAGGCACATAACACTTGAACCTCCCAGCAGTAAGTGGTATACATTTTCTTTTCTAGCTATTGGAAATAAAGCAAATGAGCATATTTCTGAAATTGTTAAACTATGCTTTTAAGCATAACCTCCAAGCTGGATTTAGCTTGACTTTAATTACCTAAAAAATACAAACAAACAAGAGGGAATTCATTCTGGCAAGAATTCAGTGAGGGAATTACAAAACTGCCTCTTAGATCATATTCTGTCACAGCAACTTCATCCCAGACTGGAGACTCACCTCTGTAAATGCTGAATGAGAAGTGATCAGTAGCTGTTGTTTTAGGCGGAGGCGCAGAAGTCAGGACACGACTACGGAGCCACGGCGCTCATCTCCCAGCCACAGACTCTTCCTTCTCAAGCCTGATCAATGCACCTTTCTGCTTCCACAAAAATCAAATCTTCCACAAAGATGCACAAAGGTAGGAGCAGAGAGCAATCAGCACACCCTGTCATTAATCACCAACACCTGCTGCACGTCCTTCCACCTGTCACTGTTAACCCTGCCTTTTCTGTCTCCCTCTCAGTTTCCGACTGTCACGCTGAATAATATTCACACAATCAGTAATTTTTTTTCACTAAGCCTGGTTGAGTTTGTGTTGATTTTCTTCAACTACATCAATTGCAATTCCATCTGAATTTATCTCAACTAATTTAAGTCCACTCAATAATTAATCCCAACAAAGCCTATGCACCTGATATATAGTTGGCAAAAACCATATAATGATAAAAAAAAATCATTGACATGGGAGTGTACCTGGGTTACTATGACTACTGCTATCACCATCACTCTCAGAATAATTTTACTGTGTGGATAGCTGACTGACTTTAACCCTCCCCATAAATTCCGTATACGATTTCAGTTCTTCATCAGTATACAGGGACATTTTTTAGATGTTGTACAAAACCATCTTATTTGAAACTACAGTTTTATTTATGGAATGAAGAAATAGACATTTTGACATGTAAAGCACAGGTGTAAATAAAATTAATCATGGCTGGATTCCATTTAGCTGCTTCAGTTTTAGAGTCCTTGTATTGACGTCATTGGTGCGATGCACACGCTCACGTGGGGATAGAAAACAAACCACAATTTATGAGATCAACATTTCAGGTTGTTTTGTACCTTCAAGTTGTTTTTAAACCAGAAACCTATGCGTGCTGGCTCACTGTTATGTCTTATTGACTGCCATTATTATTGTTATTAGCAACACCTGTGCTGTTCCTACTCCATTATTTCAAAATGTCTGCTGCGAAGTCATGTTGTGCCATTTTTCATCAAGAACTGAAGACATTTGAATAAGTCAGAGAATATATAGTTCGCATATCCACATACAAGCATTCATACAGTGGCTATGTCCTTTAATAAAGCTGAAGAATTAGCGTGTTTTGGTCCTATCGTCTTTCATTAACAGAATGTAGACATGTATTTGCTCTCAAGATTACAATAATGACCAAAGTACAGGTAGGATAATGGGGAAAAAATCCATAGAAATGTATGCACTCTTTCAGTCATAGGTATGTTAAATGTTTGAGTTCAGAATGAATGTAGGAATGTGTACATAGGCTTCAATAAGAGTAGACACTGGTTGTGGTGATCAGATGAGAGAATGGCTGAGATTAGATGGATCTGATGAAACTGTAGTTTAACAGGGAGGAGGTGGGTCGCGATGACTCACAGTGAAATGACAGCTGATGGCAGCAGAGAGGACAGATTGAAAGTTTTGACAGCAACAGTATGATTGGCTGACCGAGATCGTGGCGAATTCTGTTTGGTTTTACTGAAGAGTATACGCCCATGGGAGTTTATGAATGAGAGAGGGTTGGAGAGAGAGAGAGAGAGAGAGAGAGATATGAATGAGCGAGAGAGATGTGAATGAGAGAGTAGCACAGTCTTCCTGACTGAGCTTCAAACTTCTGTGTTGAATCCATAAAACTGTTAAATTGACAAACCTGTTTCGATTGATAGGGACCTTCCGACTGCCACAATGGGAGCCTGGCTGCACCTTCTGTCGTCAAAGAAGCAGTTTTAGACGCACATGCACTATCATAAAAGTTTTGAGCATAGAAATTCCCTGCTCAGAAATATCTTTTTATATTTAAGTGTAAATTAAATGCTGTCCCTAAATCTGCAAGACAAATGTATGAAATGTTTGTTTGTGAGTTGATCATTTTACCTATCAGTATGTTAAAAGTATACAGTTGATTATGTGCTGTGTGTGTGTGTATGTGTATATATGTGTGTATATATATATATACATACATTTGCCAAAATGGATATACACAAATTTTGTCATTGCGTAAACCGTTAACCATGTAAATCCAGGATCCACAGTTTTACGAGTGACTTTGGTAGAAAATCCATTCAGCAGATGACAGACAGTTGTGTAATATGTGTAACATTATTCATGTTTACTTATTTAACATCAAATAAAACTGTTGTACGATGTTTCTTTACTTCATCGGGTGTCACGTTTTACGTTACTGCGGATGTCATGGTGAAGCTACCTGACTGAGCCATAGACGATTGGACAACCATAACCCAGTATACCCAGATGGCACACCTCCAAAACAAGTCAGGGAAACGGGACCTGCATGATCATACGGTGAATGTGACAATGGCATTTCTCACTGTGTTATCACGATACAGATGCCACTGATTACAACATCAGACATGTATAAAAATTAAGGGCACAGGTAAATGCACACGCATACAGCAGTTATCTCTCTTGAGCAATTGCAGCATGACATGTTGACCAGAAGGCACAGGTTTTACAAGAGTAGAAAAAAATAACCAAGGAAGCAGATGTGGATAATGTTTCAGTCATTTCAAGTACAATTTTGATGTACTTCTGACTGACAACTGTAGTTACCAGTTGGTTTTCAAATGAAGATTTTACTTTCTTTTTTAAAACATATAAGCTTATAAATACAATACAAACCCTCACAAAAAAGCACGTGTACTCTGGGCCCCAGAGTCTCTGGTTTCATTTAAATAATTGCCTGAGGCTCAAAGAGGTCAGTGTCACAAAAATCAAAGAATAGAGAAAAATAACTATATATTTATGTGTATTGACTTCTCTTGCTCAACTATAACCATAATCTGCTTTTGACTGCAGGACTTTTACTTGTAATGGCCCAATTTCTTTTACATGGTTGGCCACATGGTGGCAGCATTGTTACAACAGGGCTGACTCCTCAAATGAACTGAAGGCCCAGAAGGATTTGAGTGAGGAGCCCAAGAGGAGAAAACATAATTAAAGTACATTGTTGATATAGTTAGTATTCTGAGTGTCCCATTAACTGTTTATACTGTGATTTAATCAACTTTGAAAATCTCTCCTACGGTGTAACCTGAATAAAGGGGATATCTGCTGATCTAAAGTGTTGGTCTGATTAAATACATTAAACTTCACATTGACATAAATAGAGATAAAGTTGCCTCTGAGCAGCTCTGTTATGAGATCATCCTGACTTCAAGCCAGTGCTCAGAGAGCAGCTCCCATTTGACTGATTCTCTGATGATCTCATTGTTCTCCAGTTAGCTAATGACTGATCCTTGGCATATTCTTTGTTAAAGGTTCTGTCATGAGTTTTCCCTGGTACTACAGGTTCATTAGCACATAGATCTGTGGGGAAAAACCTATCCATTAATGCAAAGTCCAGCTAAGAGTATGGCATAAAAATACCCCTCTCTGCACTTTTATCTTTTGTTTTTCAACAGCTGCCAGTCATCAGTCAACTAATCATCTAAATGCTACTTTTAATATTTTAAAACTTAAGTTCCTAAGAGAAGAATAAAAATGTAAACAAACAGAAGACCACATTTCTGTTTTTCGGTTTCGGTTTTGTCAAGAAGGCGTGAGGCTGACCTACCGTACAGCACTGCCCCTTTTAGTAATTGTGTCAACACTTTATAGTGTACACCACGCAGTAGAGTTTCCTTCTTTTATGACCTTTATTAATGTGGAATATATGAACTGGAAGGTCACAAAAGGATGAGGACGAGCAGGGTGTGACCTCAGACTTGCTGGGGAAACTCCTGACGGCCTGCCCACTGTAGGGATGGATTTGAATAAGGACCGTTGTATGCATGTGACATTTCAGAGCTCTTTGGAAGAACTTACTGTACATATAAAAATTTGGGTCATTTTGTTCCTTCTAAGGGCTTTTGTTTGTTTGTTGTCATTTCTTTGGTAGGTGGGAGGGAGGTAGGATGGAGCATAAAACTAAATTTTCCTCTCATCTTTACATTTGTTAAATCGATTTTGTTGATGTTACATGGAGCTCAATACTTGGCCTTGGTATTACACAGACAAAAACACACATCACTGTCTCATGCTCTTATATGTAATGTGAGTAGGAATGGACAACACAGATAACATTTTAATTCACAGTACATACCATTTTATATTATGATATTGATATCTATCATTGAAGAACCCAGAGCCATGTTGAGAGCTCCACAACCTGCCATTGAAAAAGGGCCCATTGGAGAGAATGTTTGTTACTGAAAATTGCTTTCTTATTTTGATTATTATAGTTTTATAGTTTGTGTTAATATGTTGGGCAACATTGTATTGTATGCACTCATGCCAATAAAGCCACTTGAATTTAAATTGAAAAGAGATGACGCAACTCTTTCTCTGCATGGCTCTGGAGCAGCCATAGCTAGTCCACATGAGGAAGTGTCCTTGGGCAAGACACTGAGCCCCAAATTTCTTCTGATGGTTGGCCAACACCTTGCATGCTAGTCACTACCATCAGTGTGTGCGTGAATGAGTCAATGAGCGCCATTTATCATTTACAAACACTGACAATTTGTGGGTTTTAGAAGGAGTTGCAACTAATTCTTGATGAACAAAAGTGTATCTCTCTGCCCATGCAACTCTCTCGACATATCTGTGTACGGATGAAACAATTGTGTTAATCAGTTAGCATCAGTGGTACCAGTAGACCTATTTTTGAACTGTGGAGAGAGCCAGACTACCCGTTTCCCCATTCGTCTATATGCTAAGCTAATTATCTCCATACTTAACACACAGCCATGGGGCAATCTTCTCATCTGACTCTTGGCAAGAAATCAACTAGGGGTATTCCCAGTTATTTTAAAAGATAACTGTATAAATGCTATGGCATTTTTTCAGTATCATCGCCTCCCTCTCCTAGACTTGGTGGTAGCTACTTCCTTGCAGATTACCTGTTTTACCAGCATTACCACATGATCGGTGAGCGTACCTCTCTTTCATGACTCACACCCTGTAAACACAAATACTGAATACTCCTCTGTAAGGGTCTATGATGATTTATTCTGCAATGCTGTTGCATGATGGTTAAGTTCGTCATTGGCCCTGAGGGTGCTGATCCTATCTGGCTGCTGGTGCTTCACAGATACTATCAACTATCCACACCATGATCCATCCTGCAGCCACAAACCCAAAACCTAAAATGCACATCTAAAATTACAAACACTTGTTTAGTTTTCATAGATGTTTGTCTGAGTGGAAGGAAAACAGCACCGTGCGATCAGTTGTGTGTGTTTTTTTGTCACGTAAGGGAGTAGGGACTAGATTTGAGGCCTTCTCATGACTAGTGAGAAACTAGAAATAGAACATCAATTCGCCATTAACACCACAAGTTAGCGTAGGAGTGTAGATAGCCATCAGACTAATGAAGCATGATTGGAAGGAGAAATGTGGAGGGAGGAGGCTAAAAGCGAACACAGCATGATGCAGTGCCTCCTGTTTGTGTTGCCTGTTAAAACAGCAGAGATTGATGGTGCTGGCCACGTACAACACACAGTAGTAAAAGAGGGAGCCATGTGCACCCGAGCACAGACACATGGGCGGGAAAATAGATAAAGCCTTAAAGCAATTTCTAGAGATGAGAAAAACAGAAAGAAGGAGCGCTAAAAAGTGAGATTGGTCTAGCTGACAAGGGGGATATCAAAACAACTGCAAAGAGAGGAGATGAAAGTATTACTACGACTAAAAGTGAAATACAAGTAAGTGTGGTGAAGACTTTGTCATACACAGATGGCCACTTGGTGTATTTTGGAGAGGCTGCTGTACGAGCACATCATCCATGCACATTCTGGAGAAATATAACTCACTCACAGATGGACTGCAGAGAAGGGAGGTGCTGCAGTGAAGTCAAACTGTAAACTGATTCTTGATATTCAACAGTGGCTCGGCGCCAGAGGAGCTGTGCTTGGTACCAGTGTATTCTTCTTCCTCACTCCACAGAGAACATCAAGACTTTTCTCATTTTCTTAGTTTGGTCACTTTCTTTTTATTTATTTTTTTGGCGGGGTATGTGAGTATGTCTGTGTGTGGCCTCCTGCCGGCATTAGATAATGAATGCTTGAAATACCAAACACTGAAAAGTTTGTTTTTCTATTCTGAACATACAAAAACATATGCCTGTTTGGTGTTCTTGGTACTTGTTAATGACTGGAGCACACTGAAGATTTCAGGTGAGGCAGAAAATGACAATAAACAGGAAGAAGCCATATGTCTTCTTCTGCTGTACAAACCAGTACAGATTGTTATATTCCATCTCAGTCTCATAAAAATGATTTAGATTTTATGCAGGCTGGCCTTTTCACAACTACTCTTACATTCATTAAATCAGTAACATTTCAAACAACCTCATTAAACACCCTCCTCTTTAATTATCTAAAATTTTAAATAACTTCATGTCATGGTGAGTCTCATGTGGTTTACCATGATTACAGCATGAAAACTTTGGGTGCCACACAAATTTTTGCCTTCAATTTTGTCACACAAAAAGGGCGTCACGATGTGTGTTGTGGCTGTGTTGATTAGCTACTGCACTTGGGGACTAATTTCTTCCAGTGTTCCCCGAGGGGTGTGTGTTGTTTTCATTTTATTGTTCATGGGGAAAATGGCTCAGCTGGTAAAAATGGAAAAATCACTTAATTTTTCCTCCACTGCCGAGCTACTGTTTTGGCTTTTAGAGCTTGCACGCCTCCGCCTACGCAGCTGTTTGGAGACTGGATGTCCATTAAATGGTTTATGTTTATGGGCACGTGGAGGTAAAGGTGCTCCCAAATCCTGTCAATGACACACTGTAATGACCAACAGTACTGTAGGACATTATGGAACATTTTTCTACAGTACAGCACACACCTAATGACAAGCGAGGTATTCATGCAATAGTTTGCAGAAAAAAAAACTTCCTTTCCTTTATTTACCTTGATTTACCTTTACATTTTTCTTCTGCGAGCAGGAGAGGCCTGGGCCGTAGCTTTCGGAGGAGGTTTCTCTGGCTGCCTCGGGTTTCAAAGCTGGCAGGCTGATCAGAGCACAGGAGGTTTGTAAGCCTTGGCACTAACACACAGCACCAGGCTTTGAGGACCCAGATTAACCTGCACAGTAGTTAAATAAACACACATCCATGCGTGCCGCATGAATGGACGTTTCATCACCACTTGCCACAT